ATATGGAAAACTAAAATTATAGTGGTCTCTGATAATCTTTGACTGTGTAACAAAAATACAGAAAGAAAAGAAACTATCTGAGAAGAGGAATGGGAATATTAACCAAATCTTTGTTTCCAAATATTCATATATGAAGAAACACATGTATTTGACAAACAGCTGAAGAGAAACCCAGCAGTGCTTTCCTTTGTTAATATCAAAAACAAAGTAAACAAGGCACCCACTTGTAATTGGCGAATTGCAGTTTTAAAAGTCTGATTTTAAAACCTTCATGAAAATATGGCATATGAGCCACCACATAACTGACTTTTTGGCTGACGTTTCTGTATACATACACAGTCTGGAAACATGTTTACTCAATGACTCATCAGTGGATGGTAGACATTGCTCATAAATCTCACCCAATCATCTTGAACAAAGATAAACCCCACTGAAGTTTATAAGCATATAAACAGCTATAGTGCATACTTCTTATTCTAAAAGCTTTTTGTTGGCATCACTGTTAGAAAATATGCCGTGTCAGCTAAAGTGGGCACCTTTTCTTTTCTGTGGGATTTACTTTTAATAGAATACCTAGCCTCTGATGGTGATAGCTATTATTATTTTGTTGTTAAGAAAAGAAGTGATTCTTAAAATCTGATGAGAGCCTCCCCTGGTGGCACAGCAGTTGAGCGCTGGGCTGTGAAGCTGCCCGCTGCCTCCGCAGCACCGGTTCGATCCCCGGCCTCAGGCAAGGGTCCCACATGGTGTGCAGACCTCCCCTGCTGCACCTGCTTCTCCCCTAGGCAGTGTACTTCATCAGTCTGCGTGTTCTATTCCCCGCTCTGGCTCCGGTGAATTCTCTCACCCTCCCGTGCTTCTGACTGTACCCAGTGCTTGTATAAATAAATGATCTTTAAACAAAAACAAACAAAAAAAGATTTTATTTTATTTTTTAAATGATCTTTTTTGTTTTTGTTTAAAAATTTATTTATTTATTCATACACGCATAGTGTACAGTCAGAAGCGCAGGAGGGTGAGAAAATTCACCAGAGAGAGTGGGGAACAGAACAGGCAGACTGACGAAGTACACTGCTGAAGGGAGCAGCGGGCACAGCAGGAGAGGTCTGTCGCGCCATGTGGGACCCTCGCCCAGCGGCCGGGGATCAAACCATCGCTGCAGAGGCTGTGGGCAGCTTTGCAGCCCAGCGCTCAACTGCTGCGCCATCAGGGAGACCCATATTTCATCAAGATTTTATTTTAGGGCTCCCACCCTCCCGCACTTCTGACTATATCCAGTGCTTGTATAAATAAATGAATAAATCTTTAAAAAAAAATCTTAAAAAAAATAAAAATCTTGATGAAATAATATGCTGCTGATGAGCTGGCAGCTTCCTTTTTAATTATTTACCATTTGAACTACATACTTTCACCTAAATTTGGGTTAGTTTTTTTAATACAAGGTAAGTAAAAGAAAGACAAAAAGGGTTAGTTGATGGGCAGTAATGGCAGGGTCTAAAATGAGTAACAAAGCTTTTGAGAGATCAACTTGACAGACTTCAAAGATATTGTATCTTAAGTACTTATTATGTAGATGACTGTAATTTGTGTGGAATTAAGTTTAAAGAAATTGAAAGTTACTGACATTATGTTTATAGAATTTTCCAGGATTTGAGAATGTTTAAGAAATTACAAATTTATCCTTTCAAGACTTGCTTAGACTTGTTTATTGAAAAAAAGAAAGAAAGAAAGAAACAAAGAAACAAAGAAAGCTCTGAGGTCACTTTCTCTTTATGTACCATCCCTTTAATTCATCCCTGTGTGTTGTTTAAATTGTCTGACTGAAACTGAGTGTCACCAAGGCATCCAGTAATTAAATAATCTTAACCTGAAAGGAATAGCAAATCTCTATAGTCTTGCTGTGGTAGTAAAGGAAAAGTAACAAAGCACCACTCATTCTCCAAAAGTGATTCAGTGATTTAAGTAACTGTTATAAGATCTCTGTATCCTAACATGAATGAGAGCCCTGGGAAGTTACCTTGGAAAGAAAAAACAAAGTGTGATTAAAAGATTTATGATAAAGTCTATTTTTTCTAATTAATATTATAAAAGCCTTGATTTTTTTCCTGAGGTCAACAAATCAATAATAATTAAAAAATTTTATTATCAACAAAAATATTAATTAAATCTATATAATCAATACTAACTTAATGAAAAATAAAAAAACACAAGATCTCAGTGTAGACATAATTGTATTGAATAACATGAAAATATATTCTAAGTATAGATTTTTCATTAATATTTCAGAATAATAGTTCTATAATATATATTTTACTTTGTGCCCTTGATCTTTTAAAAATATATCTCTTTTAAAGATGTATTTTTGAGGTGATTCATATATTTTATACTCCACCTTTTCAGTGGTTATTAATATATTCAGAGTTGTATAGGCATCATCACTTTCTAATTTTAGAACATTTCATGTCTCCAAAAAAGAAATTGAATGCACATTAACAGTTACTCCCCATTCATTACTTGTTCTGCCGCAGTTCCTACTAACCAATTGCTTTCAATCAATGAATTTAACAATTTGTACATTTCATATAAATGGCATAATAAAATATTATCTTTGACTTCTTAGCAAAAGTTGTTCAGTTCCAACCATGCTGTAACACGTCAGTGTGTTCGTTTGCTTTATTGTCAAACAATATCTCATTGTATGAAGTAACATGTTTTCCCTATCTATTAATGAAATGATGGACATTTGAATTGCTTCCACATTTTTACTAACAAAGATGAAGCTGCTTTGATCATTTATGTGCATATTTTTGTGGAGATGTATTTCCATTTCACTTGGCTGTATAACAAGTAATAGTATCTAGGTCATATGATAACTCTATTTTTAACATTTTGAGAAACGTCCTAAAAGTTTTTAAAAGTAGCTGCATCATTTTTCCTTTTCACCAGCTATCTATCAAGAAATGAAATTTCCCAGATCACTTGTCACCACATTTTTGTTTGTTTTAACCATATAAATTGCTATGATAGATAAATTGCTATGAACTAGTAACTCACTGTGATTTTGATTTGCATTTGCCTAGTGACTAATAATGTTGAACAACTTTCCATGTACTTATTAACCACTTGTAAGTGTTTTTGGAGAAATATTTATTCACATCCTTTATTCATTTTTAATTTGACTTATCTGTCTTCTAATTGTTGTATTATGTAATTTTTATATGTTCTGAATATATGGGCCTTATCAGATATATGATTTGCAAGAAATATCCCATTCTTTGTGTTGTCCTTTCAAATTCTTGATGCCATCATGTGATGGACATCAATTTTTAATTTTGGTGAAAACCAATTTATCTGACAGAAGTCACTCATGATTATGATGTTTTGTCTAAGAAACCATTACCAAACACAAAGTCATGAAGATTAATTTGATTTTATGCTTTCTTTTAAGAGTTTTTTTAAAATTATTTTAGCTGTTATATATCAGTCCGTTATCACTTTTTTAATCAATTTTTAATTAATTAAATATAGCAGTCCAAACTCAGAATTTAAAGGTGCATAATACCTCTAGCAAAATTTGTTAAAAAACTATTGCTGATTTTAATTTTACTCTGCTAACAATATCTGATCTTTTTGTTTCCCCCATTTTTTAAAAAGCATTAAATGTATGAGCTCTTATGCACTTTTCTTTCAGGCATCCACAGTTTTTTCTATGTAAGTGGCCTCCAACCACTGTGATAGTTGTTTCTGAAAATGTTCTAAGTTCCACACTCACACTTGGAGACATAATTTCCCTCTAATGTTTAACACTTTATAATTCTTAAACCCCACTGGCATTATTTTTTCTCTACATAAAAATATTGTTATATACATCGCCCTGAAATTCTCAAAAAAATCCCTGTACTTCAGAGCAAAGGTGATGTGATTTGTGTATTTCTTAGGATACTTTGCTTCTGTGATATGACACCTGTCCATGTAAGAGGAAGTTGGAAGTTATTTAATTTCAAAGATAATATTTTAGTCAAGTCATATAAAAAGCATAAAGTCATGTCAATTATAAATGAACTTGCATGTATATGTTCAGTTTGCCTATATTTAACAATGGAATTTTAAATTATGGTGAGACAAATATGAACATGTTAAAAAAAGAAAAAGGTATAAATATAACATTTGTCTATATTTAATATATACCAAAAATTTATTTAATAACTCACTCTTTAAACTTTTACATTTTACATTGTTTTTGTTATTATTTTGTAAATAATAATTCAAATACCCTTAGCTATAAAATTTTAAAACTATATTTAATATGGTTTTAATAATATTTATTTAATAAATATCCTTAGGATTATTAATATAAGTGGAATTACTGACTCCCAATTAGTGAGGAGCAAATAAAAAATGTCAGAAAGTTTTATAAGTGTACTTCTAGGAAGCTCCTAAGATAGCCTTACTGACATTAACTGAATGAAAACTCTGTGATTTTATGATGTGATTTTGTGTTTACCATTATATATGAATATTTTAGTTTTTATTTAGTCTTCTATGACCTACCTTGTCCAGAGCATGCGCAGTGTTGTGCAACATGTGCCATCAGTTGAGTTTTGCTTTACCATTTTGCCTTCTGAGAAACCACAGGTTTTTCCTGTAAATCACGAGACTGGGAGGAATGGGGGAGGAGCTACCAGGATATAAGAGGAGAACCACGAGAGAGGCGTGAGGCGAGAGGAGCAGAGAGAAGGCCGGGGAAGAAAGAGAGAGAAAAAATAAAGAAGCATCCGCTAGCGTCAAGTTGTCTCAAGCCCCTCATTTCAATCCTCAGCCCTTTTCGTGCCTACGAATCCCGTGGGTTGGGACAGATGGCGCCTAACGTGGGGCATGAAAAAGAATGAAGGAACCGCTGAAGGACCAGCTGTGGTGAGCCGGCAAGTAAGGATGCGGAAGCGCCCCGATGGGTTCCCGCTGGATTGGTTCTGTTTGTCAATATACCTGACCGTGCTAACCTTGATGACACGAGCGTCCCAGATGTCAGTATGATGGACGATTGTGCATCGGCTGCCTTTTTTGCTCCTCATTGATCGTCATGATTCCACTTTTCCGCTTCCAAGTCATTGGATAGTGCCCTGTTGGGCCAGGGTGAGGTGAAATTATTTAATGGCACTTATTCTGCAAACATTAGTTCTACCATTGAACAATCTGTTAGTATCTAGAATAATAGATCAGAGAGTTTGTCTACTGTTGTCTGCCTGTCCCCTCCCTTCTTTTTGTCCTCTCCAATAATGTAGGAAATGCCACTGTGTTGAACTGTTCAGTGGAGCCCTGCGCCCTCTCTGCCTGCTGGACCCGGAGTGCGGAGAGGGCGGTGATCGTTCGTCTGCCTTCTACTTTAGTCATGCCCGTGGATGCTTCTGCACATCTTTCCCCTGTTCTACTTAGGAGGAGACGTGATTTTGGCATCACTGCAGCTGTTGTCGCCGTTTCAATAGCGGTGGCTATGGCTGCAGCTGCTGCCACCGTCGCTGTCACTCAAGCTGCTGCAAATACTGACACTATGAACAGTTTAGCTGCCAATGTTGCTTCTGCGTTATCAACGTAGCAAGATATGAATGAACATTTATGAAATGGACTTTTGATGCTCAATCAGCAGATAGCTCTAATGCAAGAAGAGATAGACACACTTTTATTAACTGCTCACATGCCTTGCAACTTTCTGTACCGTTTTATTTGTGTAACTCCTGTTGCGGTGAAAAATATGTCTATGGAAGTAAATAGGTTAAGTAGTGTAACCAGAGGACCTTGGAACCACCAGTTCCTGAACTTGACTGCTCAAATGGCGAGACAGCTCGTAACTGTTAACAATACTCGGATTGCCTCTGTTACGGGTGAAGGTCTCATTGCCTGGTTTAGAGGACTCCTTCCAGAGTTGCAAGCTTGAGGCGGGGTGGTAGCCTTAGCTCTTGGCTTTTTGCTGTTTGTGCATTCGGCATATGGTTTCTCCTTCAGCTACGGAGGCGAAACAAAGAACGTGCTATTGCCATCAGGCAAGTACTTGCTTGGCACCATGGTACTTGACCAGGACTCCCCAGTGGCACCGAATGGGTCAGCTTAGCCCTAGAGAACCTGAGAGCCAAAGACGGGTAAGAACATAGCCCGTCCAGACCAACCTAAGACAGCGGTCCGGACCAAGTGCGCCGGATTAGCGCTGACGGGTAAGGCTGGTCACAGGATATGCCAACCTAAGACAGGCCAGGTGTCTCATTTAAAAGAAAAAAGGGGGAGATGTCCGGAGCATGCGCAGTGTTGCGCAACACATGCCATCAGTTAAGTTTCGCTTTACCATTTCGCCTTCTGAGAAACCACAGGTTTTTCCTGTAAATCACATGAGACTGGGAGGAACGGGGGAGGAGCTACCAGGATATAAGAGGAGAACCACAAGAGAGGCATGAGGTGAGAGGAGCAGAGAGAAGGCCGGGGAAGAAAGAGAGAGAAAAAATAAAGAAGCATCCGCTAGCGTCAAGTTGTCTCAAGCCCCTCATTTCAATCCTCAGCCCTTCTCTTTTCGTCCCTACGAATCCCGCGGGTCGGGACACTACCTTTTCTTATCTGTTTTTATGCTCTGCATTCTGTTTGTTTTTCAAGTCAATGTATCACTGTATTTGTTTCTCACAATATATGAATAAAATTATATTCTTCATCTCTTCCAGTAAAGATTTTAATTTTGGTATTATGTCTAGAATGTCAAGGTAATTCTATAAGATTCCATCCCTGCTTGTTTTTAGTGTCTCCTCTTAGTATTTTCTCAGTTCCTTGGGGGCACTGACTTTATCCTACTGAAGAAACCAAATAATTTCCTATCATTTGCAAAATGAAATATTCAGAGTGATGCTTGTGTTTATAATTATGCAAGATGATTATACATTTGCTTCTTTCCTAAAGTATTCTTTCAATGACCAATTAAGTGTCTTCATTTTATTTAATCACTCAATAGCCTTTGACATGCTTGATCACTTCAAATTCTTGGTGCAGTATCTTCACTTGATTATTTTCCTGTCTTACAAGACAGTCACTCTGAGACTCCTTTATGGGCTCTTTTTCTTTTATGCACTTATAAATATTGAAATTCCCACGACTGAGAGTTACATACATATATATATATATATATATATATATATATATATATATATATATATATATATATATATGTTCACTATCCTGATAATGTTATACAAACCCATGAGTTTGAATATCATTTATGCTGATATTTTATATGTGTTTTTATAACCCTGATTTTTCTATTGGCTTGGATATTAGGTTTTATTGGCTTAGAGTCTCTAAAATGAGAATCTGAGAAGTAAATTTAAATGTAGGAGCTTACTGAGGGTATATTGTAAGCATGAGGAGACAGAAAGGAGAAGAAAGTAAGCCAGCAAAAATATGTTTTTTGATAAATCTTGCTCCAGGATGGTGGCATAAATTGAATCACAGACTTTGTTCCATATGGATGAAAAAATTAGCTTTTGCTCCCATTCACTACTACCCTGGAAGAATTTGTTTAATATAAAGTAATGCCAACAGCATAAGAAAAACATATGAAACAAGTGAACAGCAAGTCAGGCAATGCAAGTGGCAGCTGGGTTAATGACATCAATAACATAGTAAACAGAATCCTAGGGCATTTGTGTGGTGCACCAACAGGGTTTATTCCAATGCCAGCACCAAATTGAATTCCCTACTTTAATAACCAGGTAACAAAGTAACACTACTTTAATATCCAGGTTTCATCTAAATGAAACAGTTATAAAATATTTTATTTTCTCCAGATGTACTCTTTTGGTCTCAAAATGTCCAGTTTTCCTTAACTCATAAGTGGCATAGCCTTTTACTCACTTATTGAGAGTGAAAATCTAGAGAACTCATTAATTTGTTTTGCTCATATCCTATATTCATCCTTAAAATAAGACCTGTCGCTCCATCTTCAAAACTTTTCCTGATTGCCATAGTATTTTATGATCTGAGGGGGAGAGGGACTAAGCATTCTAAATATATATAATTTTCTGTCAATCTGTCCCACTATATTGTCACCTGCTGTTTATAATTATATGTTACAGAGGCAATTAGACAAGGGGAATATTCAAAGCAGAGTGCTAAATTGAGAATAAATGTTTGCTAAGTTGACTATATTCAGTCACTGTCATATTGCTGCATAGAGACCACAGCTCTTGTTTGTATGTCAAAGAAAGACATCAACAGGAAATTGTGGGGACTTAAGGGACTATAGATCTTATCAATTATGATAAATTTGTTCTGTCTTTATTTCTGTATCTCTGTTGCTTCATTTTTGTAGCTGAGTCATGTTTCAGAGCTACCTGACAAAGATTTCTGAGGGTAAAGCTTTCCAGTCAAAGTCTATAGCTTCTCTTGATTTAGACTCTATTATTACATCATGCACTGCAATAAATTGCTACAGGTCAAAGGTTACTTTCTAAATGTTAAAGTGCTTGAATGGATTTTCATAATTCTCTATTTGAGAGAATTTTGCAGGCTCCCTGACTTTTTTTTTATTTAAGTTTTTTTTTTAAATGTATTTATTATCCTCCCACTTTCATTGTGTTAGCCAAGTTTTCTTTCTTTCTTTTTTTTTTTTAAGATTATTTATTTATACAAGCACTGGGTACAGTCAGGAGCACGGGAGGGTGAGAGAATTCACCAGAGCCAGAGCGGGGAACAGAGCAGGCAGAGTGACGAAATACACTGCTGAGAGGAGCAGCGGGTGGCAGGAGAGGTCTGTCGCACCATGTGGAACCCTCCCCGGTTGCCAGGGATCGAACCAGTGCTGCAGAGGCTTCGCAGCCCAGCGCTCAACCGCTGCGCCACCATGGGAGGCCCTCCCTGACTTTTTTCTAATTCTTTTTATGATTCTCGTTACTGAAACACCAAATACCCTATCATTTTATTCAGTGAATCAAATACATCACAACAAAATAAAAAGGCATATGCTTCTACATGTGTAATGTACATGTGAAAGAATCACAATCACTGCATAACTTTAACCAATCATAAATTCAGACAAACCATTCAGGAACATATTAAATATAATGTAATAGATTACTTTTACAAGTATATGTACATTTAAAGAGGACAAAAAAAGAATAGTCATTTAGCTGATTTTATCCCTTGGCTGTGAGTCTTACTATCTTTGGAAGTAGGACATAAAAAACAATTTTTACTTCCCTTGGACTTTTTCTCAGTTGGATGTTTCAAAATAGCCTATATATTTTTAATGATTTCATATTCTGTCTCCACTACCTTTTTCAAGGTTAAGCTACCTTTACTTTTATTATACTAAAAATGTTCTTCAGTCTTAAGTACTGGTCTCAAAAGCTGCACATATAGGCAGAATTAATATTGGCAGACTATGTTCTTCATTTATTCTATCCCAGATACACGGTGTTGTTTTAGCTTTTAACTGTTGTAACTAAGATGTCTTCCATGCGGTCTCTGCATATATTTTGTGCATGGTATATCTCACTAGGATCATAATGCATTTGTTCTTTCCTAAAATCTAGGATTATTTTTTCAAACTTTTAACAAAAAGATCTAATGATGAACACTTCTTCCAGTCTCTGTGGTTGGTAGAATTCTGTTTTATAGTAAAATATAAAAAGACCAATATTGTACAAATATAAAATCCCCTTCCAAGGTACATTTTGTTAAACAAATATGCGGAAGAATTGGTTACAATCCAACTATTTCTACTTGAGATACCCATAAAAGCATTAAGTAATATTGTGACCTGCCTCATTTTATACCTGCAGAGTCCAAGTTTGAAATTTTAAGAGAAATATCAAATCATAATTAATTCTATTTTACTTTCATAAATATAAATCTAAATAGAAGTATTAGAAATTATGGAACATTGTATGTAGTTATGATTTATGTGGATTATGAAAAATATATACCTGCATTTTCATTTTTATTATTGAAATTACATTGGTTTACAACACTGCATCTGATTCAGAAGTATTAGGTTAACACATTTTCAGCTACATCTTCCTTTTATTTTCCCTTCATTTCA